GTTTGGTATTTCCTGCAGATGTATGTGCTTAATAAGTACATTTATTTAGCAAATATTTATTAATTTCCTCCTATGTGCAAGGCACTGTTCTAAACACTGGGATGCAGCAGTGAACAAATCAGATTGAGTTCCTGCCCTCATGAAATATTTATTCGTCTTGGAGACTGGTAATAAATAAACAGAGGTACATAATGGAGGTGATAAGTCTACAGAAGAAAAACTAAGCAAGGTAAAAGACAAGAGAATGACAGGGGATGCTATTTTAATTAGGCCTCTCTGAGGAAGTGCTATTTGAAGAGAAACATAATTGAGATGGGGAAATGAACCAAGCAAATATCTAGGAGACGAGCATTTCAGGCAGAGGAATCATTAAGTATAAGGGCCCTGATGCTCAAGCAGGCCCAACTGATTGGACTTATAGCAAAGGAGCCACTGTATTCCCAGTAAGTCTAAAAACGTCTCTGGTTTTTCTATAGTATGGAAGAGAGAGAGGGGTAGGAGCTCAAAGCAGTAGCCAAGGGCTGGCTCATGCAAGGTCTTAAGAGATCACAGAAAGGACTTTGGCTTTTTCTCTAAGAATTAAGAAACTTTGAGCAGAGGAGTGATACATCTTAAAAGAATCACTCTAATTCTCCTACAGGGTGGAGAATAGACTGTAGGAAGCCCGGAGACTAGTAGGTGAAAAATGAGAGGCTTAGACGAGGGTAGTAGCAGTAGTACAAGAGGTAGTGAGAAGCAGATTCCGGTATAAGCTCAAGGTAGAACCAACAGGATCTGCTGAGCCGTCAAAGTTTTGAGCCTCCTTAATCGAGAGAATGAAAAGGTCATGTACTGAGAGAGGGGACAGTTCGGGGCTGGGGGAAGTTCAGTGATTGATGTGGTTAAGTCTGAGATACCAGTTTGATACCAATTAGAGATCTTGAGTAAATAGTTGGATGTATGAGTCTGGAGTTTGGTGAAAGTTTGGGACTTAAGTTAAACATTTGCGATATCTATTTTATTTTAGGAGAAACTCTAAAACCATAATTAACAGAACATTACTTTTATTGCAGGCAAAACCATATGCCATTGTTCAAAGAAAGCCCAAAATATTCCCAGTAAGTCTCTTGTTTTTCTTTTGTTCATTGTTTTTCTCTCTCCTTTCCCTCTCCAAGTGATCATTAGACTAAAATGTTCCTTCTCACTGTCATTTTTAAAGTGCCTGTTTTGTATTTTCTTGTTAAAAAAAAGAGGAATTTGTGTGAGGTAGCAGTTACAGTTGAAAATGGGAGGTGGACACATTTCTTTTCAACCTGGCTGTAAAACTTGTATGACCTTTGTAGTCTGAAAATGAATTGAAGGTAGATGCCCTGTTTTCATGTTGGGTTAAGGACTAAGGGCATGAGCCTGAGCGGACACCTAAGCATAGTAATAGCAAGTGAATTTCCAAACTGTCATTTCTTAGGGCAGTTTGACCTTAACCTCCATCTGTGAATTTAAAATTTGTTGATGTGTGCTTAAATTTTATAATATGAATATATAAGCTATTATCCTAATTAAAAATGAATCTTTTCAGAATTAAAAGATTACACAGTCGTCAGTTTTATTGGTTGTTTGTGAGGTTATTTAACACAGTACAAATACATGTTATATTCTTGTCCTATTTCTAGTCCGATAATGAACTACCAATCATCTCTTAAGTTCTGTAATTTTAAAAAACAGAACTCAGTGTTAATTCTTGCTTTAATCAAATGATATAGTCACAGTGATCCATTATCTACTGCAACAGAAGTGAATTTTAGGGAGAACCACCAAAATTGGCTCACCTTTCCAGTTAGAACTCTGCTTTAGGAAATAGGGGATTTCTTCTATATTTCATTGTGTATAATTCATGTGTCAGGACATAGATAGTCTCAAAATAGGAAATTATCTTACTGGTTTCACCAGTTGGGTAAATGATTCTTCCATTTATATATTTATTATTTATTTATTTGGCCATTATTGTTCAAAGAAAGAGGACTCTCACTGGAAGATCACATAGTGATTCCATGGCATTCCTCCTACTTTTGTATATTTTGCCACTGTGGTTTTTTCCACTTCGGTGCCATTGACCCCTTTGAGAAGCTTCCCATTTGATGACCTGAAGAAAGTTCATTTGTACACAAATTAGAATACAATGGGCAGTAACAAACATACTCCCAAATCTCAGTGGCTTAATAAAACAAAGCTTTCTTTCTTATTGATATCACAGACTAATGTAGATCAGGCGCTCTTCCTCAATCTGATAATTATGCCATCTGGGGTATAAGGTAGAAAAGGGCTGGACATCTCGGGATGATTTTAAGGTGTAATTTTGGAAGTAGTTTATATCACTTCTCTTAAATCCTGAGAACTCATTCTCATTGTCCCAAATAGCTATGTGGTTTTTGTTTTTTTCCCCCAGTCTCCCATGCCTGGAATTTCTGCCACAGTTCATCCTTCTAGTCACCAAATATCTCTTTGCTTCTTTCTCCCCTCACATACTCGTATAACACAGTTTCCTAGGGAGAAATCCCAAATCCTATTCCATCACTGCAGCCAGCCCCAAATCCAAGATCTCTAGATGATGTACAGTAGTATCAGTCATGTTTAGATGTGACTTCTCTTGCAGATATAGAATCAGTGAACTAATAATGTAGGTTAACTGTATCTCTTGTCCTTGGCCCCCCATCCCACCCATTTTTCAGTGATGAAATTCGGACAGTGGTGCAGTCACTGGTTCTTGGCAATTCTGAAATCTGTGGTCAAATATAAAGACTCCTAATCCTGTGTGTAGGAAGGGACTTAAATGGGCATTGATTGTTTTCTGGAAGTAACACCTTTGTTCATTGTTCTTCCTGGCCTCTGGCTCCGTCCAAGGGATTTTCTTTTCCATTGCCTAGACCACATCGAAAATGGGTACTGGAAGGCATGCCCTTCTTAGGGTTGTACAGCCTTTTAAATCTGCCTCCTGCTCACATAAGGTTGAGTGCCAGAAGTTGTTTTAAGCTCATACATTCACAACCCTTTGTTGTCTATATATTTGGTTTCTTTGACCATCTACTTCCCACATTTGGCAGGCATAAAAAAGAAAATACTTAGTAAGAGTCTATTTGCTTCTAGTCAGTCCACATGCATCTATGCTTTCTATACATGGTTACCAAGTTCTCTCCTTTCTTTGTTCTATGAAACTGCCTCTCTCAACTCAGTAGCAGTGATATGGAGGCCATCTGAAATAAACTGATTCAAAGGCTACTTTCACTTCAATCTTATCTTTATCATAGGGCTGAGTCCCTCTGTTTACCGAGTTGTATTGGGCTTCAGTTTCTCAGAATTTTTTCAGTGTTTAGAGATTCAGAAGCAATTTGATTTTCCAATCCTGCAAGGTCCTGAATTTCTCATTCTTTCCATTTTTATTTTTCCTCTCAAATCAGCCACTTCTTGCTTGAGTTCATGTTTCCTAAAGTACATTCCCAAGGCAGCTAGTAGTCAAACACACACTCTGACTTTTTCCCGTACCTCTTCTAGCACTTCAAGTTCATTACACTCTGTTTCCAAGTTATTCCTGCCTTTTATTTCCATTTTTCAGCCTCTAATGCCAGTCCTTGCCTCCAGACTAAGCCAGTGCTATGTGTTTCAAATTTTATTACAACAGCATTAGTGCCACTTCAGGGTACTAATTTCTGTTAGGGTAATGCTAGGCTGTGGTAATAAATTATTCCCAAAATGTATAATGGCTTAAACATAATAAAAGTTTATTTCTTCATCAGATAACTGAGCAGTACCAAGTCAGGGGTGGGGGTGGGAGGATAATTCTACTTTACCTAGTCACTCACTGAGATACTGTCAGGCTGACAGAATCTGCTATCTTGAACACAAAACTGAAACTAAAGCTATAGCTTTTCAGTGGAGTTTCCAGGATTGTCACCAATTGGTTCTGGTTCCAAAGTCCGTGTCTTTTCTACCACACACTGTATCTAGATCTGAAAAGACACCTGGATCAGCTGCCCAGGCAAAGTTTGCATTCTGTCTCTCCTTAACCTGTACAAATGGTAAACTGATGACTGCCTAACACATTTAGTTGCTGGGAATACATTACCTCCTTATGTTGAACTGAAGATGTTTCCCTGTAACTTCTTTCTAGGGCTTCTGTTTCTTGGAGCCATGCAAAATAAAATTATCCCTTTATCACTTGCAAAGACCACTTTCTGCCCTTTCTGGTCATTTTGAGTAAAACTTCCCGTTCTTTCACTTATACCTTAAGATTTTAAATACTGGTTGCTCATATTTAGACAGCTTCTACTTTGCCTAAGTTCCTTTTATAGTATGAAGGCCAAAGCTGAACTAGATTTTTGGTGTGAGGTCTGACGAAATTGATGTACCTCTGCAGACAAGATTTTTTTACTAAAGCATGTTTGTTTTCCTAGGGTGATACAATTCTGGAAACTGGAGAAGTAATTCCACCAATGAAAGCAATTCCTGATCAACATCATTGAAGATTACTTTAAAATTTCAAAGGCATATAAGCCCAAGTTTTGTTGCTCCATTACCATATTTACTGAATATATTTTCTGGAAAAGTAACTTTAATAAAGTGTACTCTCAGACATGTGTTATCTATTTCTTCCTAAACACTATACAATTTGAGACTCTTAATTATTTAACTAAGTTAAAAACTGAACTGCTAAAAAATGCTATGAACAATCACCTACTTTTTCTGGCCATTCTTGACTTGGAAAACAGGATGTAGAAAAATAGTCACTTTTTTTTTTTACATAGTACTTAATCTAGTCTGATGTGTAGGTATGCAACAGAATGAAACGTTGCAATAATATAAGAATAGAAATTACACATGCTTTTGTTTTCAAGGTGGCTTTGAGGCATTTAAAAAGTATTTTAGAAACTCTAAATTGAAAAGCACGTTATTCCATCTATGATCTGATATTCAAAGGCTGTCTGATCTAGGTTGCTTTGTTACATAGGAATGTAAAAGGCAAACCTAAATAGTTGAAAAATTAGCATATTAGAGCGGTTTATTATAAAGGGCTGTAGGCAAAAATAAAATTGGAAACTGTATTATAGACTTTACTTTAAATCTAGACACATGCCAGAGAAGCATTTGCATAGAATAAAATCTAGAGGAATTACAAATTTTCATTCATCCCGAAGATTTTGTCTGGGTACGCCTTCCTTAGCTGTCGTCGAGCCGCTACTGTTGACGCATAGAGGACATATCCCCAGGAGAGTAATACGATCGCGAGGAGCAACTAAAAAAATGCAAGAGGGGGAGTAAAGGCAAAAAAAATTCATTGTAACGTGAGCGGTACTTCCTCCCCGCCCCCCATAGGTTGCCGCGTACGATGCTAAGGCGGAAATTAGTGACAAACGAATAAATGGGATTTCAGAGGCTAGTACACCCAGCTGTCCTTACGTAAGCAGCGGAAGAGCGTATCCTCCAGGAAGAGGCGGAGTCGAGGTGAGGGAGTGAAACGCTTAATTCAGAAATGGATTTTGGAGTTTCTGGGCGCTGAAAGGAATAGGGGGGCTTCGCCTGCGGGCCTAGGAAGTCGACACCGTGGGGCCTCGCCAGACGCGGGACCTACCACTGAATAAATCCAGTCCAGAGTGCGGCGACTCACTGGCTTCATGGTAAGAAGGCGACGGCAGTCCGCGGGAACGGGCAGAACCTGCAGGCCCTAGAGTAACCTCCGGGGCGGCGGCTGCCGGGCGACGGCGGCGGCAGTGACGGCCATCTTTTAGCCGGGCACGGTCGCCCGCCCACTCGCCTCCAGGAGCGTTTCCCAGCGGCAGGGCCGGCCTCTTCCGCCCGGAGCTGGGGGCGGGCTCATGTGATTGGGGGCCTAGCCCGCCTTTCACCGAGGAGATGGCATAAACGAGAAAATGTTTTTAAATGATTTTTTTTTTTTTTTGCCATTTAGATAGGCTTACCTCGTCAATTGGTCTTTCCGTTGCAGTGAGTGTTAGTGCAGGATACTGTACTGTCGTGTGCATTTAAAAGTTTATTTGAAAAACGAATCCATATTTTAAATACGGCTCCGGCGTCTAACGCTGGAAGAATTAACGTTTCCTCTCGCGTCTGTTCCCACATTATATTGATAGAGGTTCGTATATTCATGTTGTACGTAAACAATATTACTGTTGTATATTAACAGTGACGAATCATTGTGGGAATCCCTGTTAATTGAACGCTTCTTCAAGAAACAAGTCTTTCAGAACGCAATGGCTTGTTGATGTAAATAACTTCTGAGAAGAAATAACTTGGCACCGTTACCTGGCATAATGTACCTGCCAATCAGCAAGTGTTTGTTGAGCGTTTATTATGTGCCCAGAACGGCAGCATGTATCAAATATTAAGCCAAAGGACGGCGGTTTGGCACTTGGCGGGTTGTAGCAAGTTCAACTTGAGAATGTTTGGGACGCTCACATCTGAGGCCAGAGGGTAGAATGGGGCAACGGGCCTCTTTAGGCTCAGACCTTCTTTCTCTGTACTTCTCATATGTCGTCTAAATAGGGCTTTAATCCTGATTTCGGGGAGTGGGGAGAGGGGGAAGCAGTCTTTTGAAAGGAAAACGTTATCTATTTTGGAAAGATTTCAAGGCTCTGTTCTCTTAGGTAATCCCTGTTTATCCTCAGACTGGAGTAGATCTTGGAAGACTTAGGGTATTGGTTGGGCTCTGGCTTTGGATGCCATTCGAATCCCGGTGATATTACCTAGCTGTACAATCGGAAGTAAAGTCACGTTACCTCGGTGTAACTCGGTTCTTTTATAACACTAGAGATAATTTTAGTAACTTCTCACAGAGTTTGGTGAGGTTTAAATGAGGCCGAGTTAATCATCGTGTTTTCCAGGTAAGTTAGGAGGGAGCATTAAGTTAGTGCCCCTTAACCCTGAGATTAATAATAACAAGAATAATGACGCTGACGATAGTGAACTCTACCTCTGAAGGGTTAACGTCGCTGTGATCCCAGGAGCCGAGGGGGCGGTGGGGGAAGGGTCGGGGCTCTGGCGGAGCGCGAAGGCCCCTCCCTCCTTGCCGGCGCCCTTCCACTGCGCATGCGTTACGCTGGTGGGTCCTGTGTTTTGACGCGCCGGCGGCCGCGGGGTGGGTTTTGCTTCTACCGACGCCCCCAAGCTGCCATTGGTGATGAACGCTTTACGTCACAGGGGTCGCAACAGCCGCCGGGGTCTCCGCTGTCTCGCGAGGAGGGTGAAGCGCCCCCGCCTGCTCCGGCTCCTGAGGGCCGGCGGAGAAGTCGCCGGGTACGGCTTCGCGGATCCTGCCGTCACCGACCTAGCTTCCTGGGCCGCCGGGAGCTTGTCACGAGCGCCTCAGCTTGGCCTGCACCGGCATCCTCCGAGGTGAGTGAGATCGGGAACAATGGGGCGCGGGGGTCGGAAGGGCTGGGCCGTCTGGAGCGAGGCCCAGGGACGAGGGAGCTGAGAGGCCGTACGGGCCTCAGCGGGGCAGGGGTCCTGGTGGGCTGACGGCACCTGCGGCGCACCTGTGCATTTGCACCGGTGAGCGGGGGAGGGCTACCTTTCCAAGAAGCGCTCTCGAGAGGCACGAGCCCAGCCGTGTACTGGAAAGAGCTTGGTCTCCGGGGGGAAAAAACCCAGCACAAAACGTTCAAGTCTGAATGGTGGCATCTCCACTGTCAGAGGTGTGACCTTGAATGGGCCCTCTAATCTCTTTGATCCTGTCCGTAAAATGGGAATAACAGTATTTTAGTTCGTTGTGATTATGTAATGCACGTGGTGCTTGTCTTAGATTCTGGCCCGTGGCAGTTCTCAGCCTAAGGGAGCGACTGTCACCGTGACTGTTGGAGCTGCCCGCGCAGTGTTAAACATTGTGTGCTGGGCTCCCCTGCCCGCGATTTATTCACCCAGCTAGTAGTGCAGCTTTCCTCGTGGGCTGCAGATGCCTAGACTGACATGAGGCAAATAGTGATTTAAGAGGAAAAATGAATAGACTTTTTGGTAAGTAATTTCAAGATTAAGGTAAATTAACAAGAGCTGTCCATTAATAGAGATGAGGGTTGGGAGTTTTTGATTAGTCAGTGACACAAAAAGCCATACAATCAGACAAAACAATCTCCAAAACAATCTCGCTTGTCTGAAATGAGTGGCTTTAGAGGGAAATGGTTCCCAAGCAATTATTTTTTATTGCTGAAATTGGAATTGAATTTTATAGGATCTGGTCAATAGATCCTATAACTTCTATATGATCTTTTGGAATTTATTGCATTGCAGTTCAGAGAAGTGCAGTGGTTTTTTTTTTTTTAAGGTCATAAGAGGTAGAACCCAGATTATTTTTAATACTTGGAGGTGTATTTCTAGTTTATCCATTTGTGAACCCTTTTTAGTCATTTTGCCTAGATGTATTAAGTACAATAATTACATTAAGTATGAAGATTAGTTGTTATAAATTGTCGTCTTTCTGGGCCTTTATAATCACTTACGGGTGATGCAAATGACCAGAAACAAGTTTATTTTCGCATAACATAGGAAACAGTATTCCATTCTTACTGCTCAACAAGCACTATCCTAAGTGTTTACGTGGAATATATCCCTTTACACAACCACCTTTTCAAGTGGGTACTATTGCGTAACCCATTTTAAAATTGAGAAAATGTAAGGTTTTGAGAAATTAAATAACTTCCTCCAGCTTACACAGCTATTAAGTGGTTTTGGTTCTCAGCCCTGACTCAGCATTAGAATTAACATCATTCTTCCAAATGTCATCAGCTACTGGTTTAATTTTGTATTCAGTGATAACTTAAGGAATGCCATAGAACATGACTTTTATAGGAAATCTGGCTTTATAAAATATTGAATTCTTCAGAGTAGTCCTATTTTGTTTGTATCACTAGTTTTTATGTTCAGCCTATGGTCTAACTTGGACTTCAGCCTCCTGATTCTTTATCCCCACCCCAGTCCATTTTTCCCGAGATACGTATGCTTATTGATTATCTGAAATACCCTCAAAATATGGCATGAAGGGTTCTTAACCCTTGTTAAAGCCAACATATTTGAAGATTTGGGGAAGGGAAGGCTTGGCTCAATCAGTTTATCCTAAAGGTGGTAAACTTTATTTAGAATTTTGGAGGCAGTTAAGGAAATGGAATCAGAAGAACTGATTAATCTCCCCTATAGGGAAATGAATTTGAAATCCTAATTCCTCGAGTTCTAGGGTGGAGAAACCTTTATCGCAAACTTCATCTGGAACCCCAAGCTAAATTTACCATCAGTTCCACCTTTGCTACCTAAACCCAGAACCCCTCCTACAAATCTACAAATCTTAATCTGTCTCTAGCCATCCTTGTTTTATGCCTTAATTTGTATTTTTTAAACGGCTTTGTTGAAATATTTACATTTCATCCATAAAGTTCACCTGTTAAGTGTATATAATCCAATGGCTTTTTAGTATATTTGTAGAGTGCAACTACGATCAAATTGAACATTTTCATCTCCCTAGAAGGAAACCTTATAATCCCTACCCCTCTCCCCTAGCAACCATTAATCTACTTTCCATCTATAGATTTACCTATTCTGGACATTTCTTATAAATAACATCATACAACGTGGTATTTTGTGATTTTTTTTTTCATTTAGCATAATAAAAAGGTTCATCCATGTTGTAGCATGTATCAGTAATTCATTCCTTTGTACTGCCAAATCTTCCATTGTATGGATATATACCACATTTTATTTATCCTCCCTCCCCAGCTGATGGACATTTGGGTTATTTCTACTTTTGAGCTTTTGTGACAAATGCTGCTATGAATATTCACTTACAAATTTTTGTGTGGACCTATGTCTTCATTTCTCTTTATAGATGTGGGATTGCTGGGTCATATGGTAATTCTACTTCATTTGAATCTTAGCAGATATTTTAATTTTAGTAGTTGAGTGATGATTTTGAAAGAGTAAACTCCCAATTTGATGATTTACACTCATTGCCATTGTTTGGTGTTTCTGATGAATACCATTCTTTGTAGCTAAAGATATTCCTGTAGAAATACAAAACAACTCTAATTAATTTGCTTCTGTAGACATATAAAACAACTCTAATTAATTTGTTCTTTTTACCTACTATGGATGACATTGCTGAACATGCTTTAGACTTGTGCTGTCAAATGGTTAACAGGCTTGTAAAACTAGGAAAGGGAAGACAAAGATATAAAAATCATACTTCGTTGAGATTTTGTTTTATTTGAACTTCAAGTTTACTACCTAACAATTTTCTTTAGTAAATTCATTGTGGGTTGTAATCTTTATGTGCACTGGAAATGGTTAGTAAACGCTAAAATTTGCATTCCAAAGAAATAATTTAAGATAAAATGTATTAACTTAAAATTCACCAGTCTTTTAAAATCTAATAATCCCTTTATTATATAGAGGGGCAAACTAAGTCCAGAGCTACTGTGGGTTTCTCCAGCTTATAGAGTTAGTTTTACTTGTAGGTGATACCTGGTCTTCAATCCAGATCCTCTGATAACCTCTCCAGTCCCCCCTTTCTTTACTCCTTCCCCTAACATATGCACAATGTCTCTTATCCTAAATTTTTTTTTATTTTTAGGGTGGTGGTTTGTTTTTTTCCTGAGTAGGAGAATAAAAAATATTAGAAGTAGGGAGAAATGCTAAGAAATTTATGCAATATTAAGGTTTCAGAGTTAAATATATTAACAAAAAGAGCAGTTGGTGATATATATATATTTCTACTATTGTCTTTAAGGACTGGTGATTTTTGCATTTCCACTTTAGAAAATAGAAGACTAGAAATATTTGGACTCTTGAAAAACTCGTTCAGCATTAATTGGTTTCCTTTTTTTTTTTTTTTAGCTGAGCCATCCTGCCACCTGTTGGCAGCTCAGCAGCAGCTCAGCTTGGGCTGGGAATCCAACTGGCAACCCTGTTGCTCAGAGCTCACACTCTTAAGCAAGCTCTTAACCAACTGAGTCACTCGGCCGGCCCCAATTGGTTTCCTGTTAAGTTATGGCTCTGAGAAAGTTAAGATGCCCTAGATGAACAAGTTTAATTTGAAATTTGTGATGAAATAATATTTTGCGGTTTCAGATTTTTGTTGTCTGTTTTTCTTAGAGCTCGGTATGTATGGATGGCACATGAGTCTATTGTTTAGAAAATTGCGGTTTTATTATTTGAATAACTTGACAGCAGTTGACTAGTGAGTGATAGGACTATCTGTGATAGAGGAGGTAGAGAAACATGAATAATAGGCCCAGGAAAACACAATTAGTGTAGAATGCAACCAAAGAAGGATTTTATAAGATAACAAGGGCAAAATGTAATACAAGTTAGAGTTCAGCTCTGGCAAATTCATTGTTTGAGTTATGGGCCAATATAAACTGATAAATTCAAAGAAAGCAAAATTAATCTTTACAATTTTAGTGATGTGGGAAAAAGTAATCAGGGAAGGGGGCCGAAAGCATAATTCAAGATACTTTGTGACTGACTTTGGATTAAATAAGAAAGCCAAGAAAGACTTCTTAAGGGTGCTGAAAGAAATCAGTGATGAACTGGATATAACAGTGTAATAATAACAGTAGTATAGTACTGATAACATCAACTAATATTTAGTGAGCATTTGCTATGTGCCAGGTACTGCCTTTGAGTGCTTTTATATTTAGTATTTCATTTAATTCTCACCAAAAATCTTCTTTGTGAAAGAATCTTTCATTAAAAACCACAGAATTGTTAGATGACTGGATTAAGAAACTTTGGTACATTTACACAATGGAGTATTTATTACTCAGCTATAAAGAAGAAGGAAATAGTACCATTTGCAACAATATGGATGGAACTAGAGAACATTATGCTAAGTGAAATAAGTCAGTCAGAGAAAGACAAATATCATATGATCTCACTTATACGTGGATTCTAAGGAACCGAATGGATGGGAGAAGTGGATGGAGATAGTCTCAGAGACACAGAGGAAGAACTGAGAGTTGTTAGTTGGGAGGGGGTGGGGATGAAGAAGAAGGGGAAGGGGTGAGACAATACAAATTGGTAATTACAATATGGCCTCAGGGATAGAAAAAGTCTGAGGAATATAATCAATAATGTTGTAAATATTTCTTAGGGGGCCAGATGGACTCATGTCCTGTTGGGGAGACCACTTCATAGTCGGTGTAGAGGCCTGACCACTGCACTGTATTTCTGAAGCTGATATTGAATAATATTGTATGTCAACTATAATTATATATACATATAGTCACGGGACATGGAGTAGAGAGTGGGAATGGAGTCAATGGAATTGTAATAGATAAGCATGATACCGGGGGAGGGAGGGCAATAGAGGGGGAGAGGGGGATTGTTACTTTGTGAGGGTGAAAAGGATAACTATTGTATTGTTCTGTACACCTGAAACTAACAATAAAAAATTATTAAAAAAACAAAAACCCACAGAATTGGGAAAAAAACAAAGAACACCACAGAATTGGTTTCAACAGCTGCACTTTGTGGTATGCAAATTATCTCACTAAAGCTTCTTTTTTAGTTATAGTTGACATACGATATTATATTAGTTTCAGGTGTACAACATTTTGATTCCACACCATGTGATCACCTACTATGTTATTACCACTATAAGTCTAGCAACCACCTGTCACCAAAAAAAGTTACTACTAAAGCTGTTTTTAAAGTTACATATACAATACTTACACAAATAAGACAAATCAGTAGTCTGTATTGTTTGGGGCATATATGTATGAAAGATATAAAACCATAGATAGAAATAACACCAACCAAGGACTGTAATATTTTTGTTTTTTTGTTTTCTAGAGAGGGATAGGAGGGGAAGATAAGGGACATTTTAAAAAATCTGGAGTAACCATGAGAAAGTGTTAGTTGCTAAATCTGAGTGGTGGATACATGGGTACTTGGTATATTTTCTTTTGTACTTTTTTGTATATATAAAATATTTCTCAAGTTTTTTTTATTTAAGAATAATAGAATGTTATATAACATTTGAGAGCTTACTATGTATCAGGCACCTTTTCTAAGGGCTTTTTACATCTTCACAAGGCCTGTGAGGCAGTGATCTACAGAAGAAATTGAAGCATAGAGGTAGTAGTAACTGGTACAGTTACATTGCTAGTTTGGAACCAGTATTCAAACAAAGGAAATTTCACTTTAGAACTTGTGCTTATTTACTATATTGCTATGCTGCACTGCTTTATATTACAAAGATAATGAGCTACTCAACTGTGTTCACCAAAGTATGTTTCAGAGTCATTATTTGCAATTTTTTCAGGTTTAGTCATTTCTATCAGGTTACTGATATAATTTTTTCCCTTTTACAGATAATGGCATCAGCCGCTAAGGAATTTAAAATGGACAACTTTTCACCTAAAGCTGGCACTAGCAAATTGCAACAGACAGTACCAGCTGATGCATCTCCTGATTCTAAGTGTCCTATATGCTTGGATAGGTTTGATAACGTGTCTTACTTAGATCGCTGTTTACACAAGTTCTGTTTTCGCTGTGTACAGGAGTGGTCTAAAAACAAAGCTGAATGTCCACTATGTAAACAGCCTTTTGATTCTATTTTCCATTCTGTGAGAGCTGAAGATGACTTCAAGGAGTACGTCCTAAGGCCTTCATATAATGGTACTTTTGCCACACCTGATGTTCGACGATTCCGCTATCGTACAACTATGACCAGAGACCGAAGTGCTTCTGTTTATTCACCCAGTAGTACCATGAATAGAAGAACAACAACTCCACCAGATAGCGGGGTACTATTTGAAGGATTAGGTATTTCAACAAGACCTAGAGATGGTGAAATTCCTCAATTTATGAGACAGCTTCCAAGAAGGCCAACTACTGCAGATGAAAGATCTTTGCGGAAAATTCAAGAACAGGATATTATTAATTTTAGGCGAACCCTCTATCGTGCTGGTGCTCGCGTTAGAAACATTGAAGATGGTGGTCGCTACAGGGATATTTCAGCTGAATTTTTCCGTAGAAATCCAGCTTGTCTTCACAGATTAGTCCCTTGGTTAAAACGTGAACTTACAGTTCTTTTTGGAGCTCATGGATCTTTAGTGAATATAGTGCAGCACATCATCATGAGTAATGTTACTCGATATGACTTGGAGAGTCAGGCATTTGTGTCTGACTTAAGGCCATTTTTACTTAATCGGACTGAGCATTTTATACATGAATTTATCAGTTTTGCTCGATCTCCTTTTAACATGGCAGCCTTTGATCAGCATGCTAATTATGATTGCCCTGCTCCTTCCTATGAAGAAGGTAGCCATTCTGATTCTTCAGTCATAACAATATCTCCAGATGAAGCTGAGACCCAAGAGCTGGATATTAATGTAGCCACTGTTAGTCAGGCACCATGGGATGATGAAACTCCAGGGCCATCTTACTCAAGCTCAGAGCAGGTACACGCTGCCATGTCTTCCCTTATAAATACTTCTGACAGTTCAGATGAAGAACTTGTAACCGGAAGAGCCACGTCTCAGATACAAGGAGTACAAACCAATGAGGACCTAAATAATGACAGTGACTCTTCTTCAGATAATTGTGTCATTGTTGGGTTTGTTAAACCACTAGCTGAGAGGACCCCAGAACTTGTTGAACTGTCCTCCGATTCTGAGGAATTAGGTTCTTATGAGAAAATGGAGACAGTGAAGACACAAGAACAAGAGCAGTCTTACAGCTCTGGTGATAGTGATGTTAGTAGATGTTCATCTCCACGCTCTGTCCTTGGAAAGGATGAGCAAGTAAACAAAGATCATTGTGATTCTGGTACAAGAATCAAATCAAAGAAGGAAGAGAAACGATCTACATCATTGTCCTCTTCCAGAGACCTGAGCTCATCTATCAGAGGAGACAGAGTATATTCCCCATATAACCGTAGACACAGAAGGAGGGGAAGATCAAGAAGTTCTGATTCACGTTCCCAGAGTAGAAGTGGGCATGATCAGAAGAATCGTAGGAAGCATCATGGGAAGAAAAGAATGAAAAGAAAACGATCCAGAAGCAGGGAGAGTAGCAGACCTAGAGGTAGAAGAGACAAAAAAAGATCAAGAACTAGGGACAGCAGTTGGTCGAGGAGAAGCCAAACTCTGTCTCTAAGTAGTGAAAGCACAAGCAGATCGAGATCTCGTAGCAGTGATCATGGTAAAAGAAGATCACGGAGCAGAACTAGAGATCGTTATTATTTAAGAAATAATTATGGAAGATATAAGTGGGAGTATACTTACTATAGTAGAAACAAGGATAGGGATGGCTACGAATCATCTTACAGGAGGAGGACTCTATCCAGAGCTCATTATTCCAGACAATCTTCAAGTCCAGAATTTAGAATTCAATCCTTTTCTGAAAGAACAAATGCTAGGAAAAAAAATAATCATAGTGAAAGGAAGTATTATTACTATGAAAGGCACAGATCAAGGAGCCTATCCAGTAACAGATCGAAGACTGCATCTACAGGGCCTGACCGGGTGAGAAATGAAAAGCCTGGAGGAAAACGAAAATACAAAACACGGCATTTGGAGGGTACAAGCGAAATGGCTCAACCATCTCGTGAATTTGCTTCTAAAGTAAAGGAAGGTCATTACCAAAAATCTTCATCAAAATTGGATGGCAACTACAAAAATGAGACTGACAGCTTTTCAGATAGCCGATCATCAGACAGAGAGACAAAACACAAGAGGAGAAAAAGGAGGGCCCGGAGCCTAAGTGTAGAGATAGTTTATGAAGGGAAAGCTACGGATACAACTAGACATCATAAAAAGAAAAAGAAGAAACATAAGAAGAAGCATAAGAAACACCATGGAGATAATGCTTCACGTTCCCCAGTTGTAATTACCATTGACAGTGATAGTGACAAGGATTCTGAAGTAAAGGAGGGTACCGAATGTGACAATAGTGGTCCTCAAGACCATCTACATAGTGAGTTTTTGGCTCCTTTGGAAACATTTGAAACTGAAGATATAGTTACAATAGAAGATGAATTTGGTGTCCTGGACAAAGAGTGTGATATTACCACACTTAATAACAACTTAAATAATGCTCACAAAACTGTAGATAATATTCCACTCCAGGCAGCTTCAGTTGAACAAATTCTTGATGTAAGAGAAGAGAGCACCTTTGCTTCTGATTTGGAGAACCAGCCCAGTAATGTCTGTATTCAAACTGAGCCATCAAGGCCATTGCCATCTCCACAGACATCATTACTGTCAGTGTCTCTTGGTAGAGACCATGATATGTCTTAAAACTGCCAAAGCATCTTCACAGAGAATTCTGATGGTATAAAAAGGAATAAAAGGAACAACGTCATCTACTGCAGTCTATTTAAAGATGACTTCTGGTGAAAACTCTTTTCCCCCTTAAAAATATTTTAAGTGATTTTTTTTGTGTGTTCCAAATTTGTAAAAATTATTTGTTGAAAAAGTATGTATGTCCCACCCTCAGAGATATGCACTTTTAAGTGAAAAAAATGATATTGCTAGCAGTTTATTTAAAATTTGGGATCCTTTTTAAATAAAAACTGTAAATTTTAGAAGTTATTTCATAAAGCCATATGGTATTGACATATTTTTAAAGTAGTCAAGGAGTATTTTTGAATTCTTTTTTTTGAGAGTTATTCTGGAAATACGTTATAAACTAGGAGAATCCCTTTGGACAGTCTTTATTTTTCTTCTTAAAAATTTGTATGATTCAAAACCATTTCTTCAGGTTAAATTGAGGCATTTTAATTTGCACAGTTTATCTTGATGTCTGCCAAAAGAAAAATTTAAATATTTCCTTTATATACTTGTTGTCTGGACTGCCAGTAAAACAAATGTGTATTCAACAAAAGAAAAAATAAAACAGTAACATCTTAAAACAAGAATCCAGAAATTTTCCTATGCAGTATTGATATATTTTTAAATGAGTTATTTTAGTGAAAATAAGGATATACTTGTGTCATAAAAATTAACTTCAGGTGAGCTGCATTTAACTTCACAGTTTTAATGATTAGTTCTTTAATCTGATTATGAAGAATATATTAGTTGCTTTCTATATTCAGAAAAATTAGTTATGTAGCATTTAGCTAACTTAAATACAAATGAAAACCCCTTGCCAGACTTCTACATTGATAGCTCTTTTACACAAAGTGGCTGTTTATGTTTTATCCTGTTTTAGAGATAAAAATTGTTCCACATCTATAACCTGATGAAGGATTGCCAGTGAACAGAACTTGGATTAAATCTAAATTTAGCCTACAATTTGCCTTGCTACCATATTTATTCATTGTTCAACAGAAATTGGAATGCAGGCTGTGTGGCAGGTTCTGTACCAAGTTTTTAGGGATTCAGTGATAGAACAAAGCAGACAGATACGCTCCCCACCCTCATGGGGCGTGTGTGTGTGTGTGTGTGTGTGTGTACGTGTACACACATATATAACATAATAAACTCTTAAGTCCCCTGGACAGAAAGTATAATTTAGTACAAAAGCATACAATCTAATATCCTGTAATTTCACCACTTCCCATGCTTTGATCCTAATCCAAGATGCCATCATCTCTTACTTGGACTAGTCCGTTGCACCTGCCCTAGTCACTCGGCTTCCACCCTTGTCCCCTGCAGTTTGTTGTCCTCCAGTCATCCTTTAAAACCATGAGACCATGTAATTCCCCCTCTCAAAATCCTGCAGTCGTTCCCCATCATATTTACTATCAAAATCGAAGTCATTATCTTGGTCTGTTAGGCTTTATGTGAACTGCCATGGTCACCTGTCTCCTCTCTTTCCCCAGGCCACTCCACTCCAGCAACCTTGCTCACGTCCAGTTCTTTTGCAGACTCAGTTCACTCCTGCCTTTGGGCCTTGGCACTTCTTGTTCCTTTTGAGTAGAATACTCTTCACCCACATGGCATGCTCTCACTTCATTTAGGTCTTCCCTGATCAACTCATCTAACACAAGCATTCTTCATTATTACTTATTCCCGTATCTTCATTTCTCCTCACTCCACTTATTACTATCTAGTATCTATTTTCCTTGTCTCCCACCCCAGAATGTGATTAACTCTAAACCTGTCTTCTCTATTTCATGTTCACAACTTCTCAAACCAGATACCTGGAATGTAGCTTTCATATATATTTGTTTCTCTTTCTACTGCTATTCACTCAATCCTACCTCTAAAGTATATCTCAAGCAAGTTACTTCTTATACTCTCTAATGCCACTGTCCTTTTCTTTGCTCTCATCTCTTACTTGAGTCACCTACCAACTGATCTACTCATTCTGCACAGGAGGCAGAGGTCTGTTTAAAAATGCGATCAGATTATGTTACTTTTTTTTTTTTTTCCTCAGATTTTTATTGGGGAATTGGGGGGATGGGAACAGTGTTGGGGAATTGGGGGAAGGGGAACAGACAAATTGCTGTCGTCTTG